GGTGTGTCAAAACATATGCATAATTGTATCTAGGCTATATTGGGGCTAGCCTTAGGGGGTACCGAAATAGTCTCGACACTCTAGTCTTGTACCCCAATCTTCACCTAATCATCAACTTTCTCGTTCCCTAGCTAGTGATTCTAACAAGCAGTGGGCAATTTCCAGAATGTGGGTCCGCTGAACCTTCGTTGATAAGTAATTATTTGCTTATCTAGGTTTTGTGATAAGAGCGTTCCTGCCAAACCTATTTGCGCCAAATTTGACGCTTCAGCCTGCAAAACACCACTTTTGTGCCGCACAAATTTAACCGCCCGCTGGTTCGACGTTGTTGCTTTGCTAGGCAAACGGTCGCATAACTAGTGCGGTGCTGGTTCAACCTCGAGGGCTTGCATCAGGCAACGCACAAGTTATGCGGGGCAGCATCAACACGCAAATTTCGGAAATGCATCCGGCTGTGAGGGGCTTCGTAGCGACATCCACGCTGCAAATTTTGATTGGGTGCGACACGAACCTTCTAAGAAAGAATGGCCCGTACAAGTTGTGAACAGGCAAGTCCGCCTAGAGAACAAGGCCCAGTTCGGCAGGCATTAAAAAAACGGGCTCGGGGGATGGGCTACAGTGAAACGACCACCCTGGAACCTTCCTTGATAAGCGAGTGAAATGTTATCAAGGCTCGATATAAGCGGATCTACGCCGAACCAGACAATAACGGAATGCCAGCCGAACAACCCTTTTTTCGCTGGCGTTTGTTAAAGTTTAGAAGAAAGAAGAGGATTGCACTAGCAAGAATGGGGATACAAATAGCAAAACCCTAGAAGAGTTGTACTCGCTATAGAGCACCCCACTACAGGCTAGAGCATAATATTCTGACACACCCCCATAGCCAAAGTGGGGTGTAATCAGCAGAGCAAGCAAAAGAAAACAAGCTCAGGGTGGATCACAATGTCACCACACATTCTGAGCACAAGTACAAGAGGTAGCAGTTTTATAGTTAACAAATATAAGCAAAGCTAGAGGCTATCACAGAGGGCAAGTGAGGAGGAGGAGAGACTGTGGGGGAGAGAAGATGGGAGGCGACTGCTGACGCTGCAGACACACAGACGAGCTGCTGGCTCAGTGGCTACCGGAACAGCGCTTCGGACTACTGGGGTAACTGGCCCCGCGGCTAAAAGTAGCGGCAGACGAGCAACGGACCCACGGGCGACTGGCGACTACCGGAGATTGTAGCCTCCGGACTGCTGCTGCTGCTGACGACACGACGACCGCCTCCATTCAACCTCCCCCAACTGTCCCACCCCCATTTCACACACCCCCTGTTCAAACCCTAGCTCTACTCACACTCCACCCCCCTAGCACCACTCCGTACACTCCCACACATCCACCCCCCTCAGCGATAGCTGCAGCAGTGGGAGACGAAGGAGGAGGAGGAGCAGGCGACGCCACACACCCGCCACCCCCCAACCGCCACCCCCCAAACCCTAAAAACAGGGTAGGGAGGTAGGGGGGGGGGGGGGCAACGCGCGGCCCCCCAGGGTCGCCTCGACAGGCGACGGGAGTTGGGCCGGGGCAGGTCGGGGCCGGGGCAGGTCGGGGCCGGGGCAGGTCCGGGACGGGGCAGCAGGGGCCGCGCACGGCTCCCCTGGGCAGCGCGACGGGGCAGCAGGGCCGCGCGACGGGGCAGCAGGGGCCGCGCGCGGCTCCCCTGGGCAGCGCGACGGGGCAGCAGGGCCGCGCGACGGGGCAGCAGGGGCCGCGCGCGGCTCCCCTGGGCGGCGCGACGGGTCCCCGTCGCCCGTCGCAGCGCCTCCCGGGGGCGACGCGGCGAGTGACGGGGCAGAAACCCGTCGCGCGCCTCGGGGCGCACGGCGGGCAGAAAACCGCCGCGCGCCTCGGGGCGCACGGCGGGCAGAAAACCGCCGCGCGCCTCGGGGCGCACGGCGGGAAGAAAAACTGCCGCACGCCACGGGGCGTGCGGCACAGAGAGTAGCAGTAGCAGTTGCAGCAGAAGCAACAAGGTGGTGAGCCCACCCACAGGATCGATCCAAGGGGATCGACCTGCTCTGATAGCATGTTTTTTTTTTTTTTTTTTTTTTTTTTTTTTAAAGAAGAGGATTGCACTAGCAAGAATGGGGATACAAATAGCAAAACCCTAGAAGAGTTGTACTCGCTATAGAGCACCCCACTACAGGCTAGAGCATAATATTCTGACAGCGTTTTCAACCCTAGGAATCTTCAACGAGCCCAGTTTCTCTGGCAAAGTGCCCATTTACTGATCCGCCGCACCATGCGGCCTCGAGGTCCCGCACCATGCGGAGGATCAGTGATTCGGGGCAATCACTGCCGAGCCCGGAAAAAAACATATCCCGGCTCTTTCTGACCCCGCTTCCTGCCAGCGATGGCTGATCGTGTTTCACAGGCGAAGTGTGTTGGAGTACGAGGAAGAGGTAGGAGGGCGCAGTTTCCCCTTCCGATTTTTTTCGACCGGACCACTGGTTTGCAGGTCAGGGGCGGGCTGCCAGTACAGTGATCATGCGCTCCATCGGCGCAGCTGCGTTCCGGCTTCTCCGATGCCATTAATCTAGACCCATTTAATGCCAACCGAACAATCCGGCCGTTTTTTCGATGGTGCACTGCAGCTACAGTCTGATTTCGCAGCTGTTTCGAGGCGGCATTTTTTGGGGGCCCGTTAACAATGCCCATAATGCCCATAATGCCCATAATGCCTGCCGAACTGGGCCCAAGGCCAATGCCGCGGCTCATTTTTCTTTAGGGCGTTGTTCAGCTGCCCCGCATCAGGTGATGCGCGCATCATGCGACTTCTTGGAGTTGATGCACCAGATTGCTAGGACGGGAAACTACAAGGAACGCGGCGACATTTTAGATTTCGGGAGCCAAACAGGCTGTTCTGCAGGCATTCGGGCTTGGTTTGCCTCGACAGCCATGCGCTTAGGGTTCGCCTCTGATCTGCTGTGATCTGGTCGGGTCGGGTTGCCCCTGATTGCAATGCTCGCGCCGCCCGATCATAAAGGATATTCCTCGAAAATTCACCGAGGGTGCATGGCAAGCGTGCCACCCCTTCCTGACAATTTCGGACCCATTTTGGCGAGGGCGAAGCCCTGTCCATTGATATAGCGATTTTCAATGTCCCCCTGTAACTTCGCATAAACATGTGCCCAGAAACGCTGCAGATCCAGAACCACACAACGAAAGTTCTTTGCCAGGTTGGTTGGTTGTGCGAGGGCTTCACGAAACCTACCACAACACCGTTCGGTAGCCCAAACCAATGCAATCAACTGGGCCCTGTTCGGCAGGCGTTAAAAAGGCATTAATAACAGGCTCGGGGACCGGCTACAGTGAAACGATAAGCGAGCGATCGGTTATCAAGGTTCGAGATAGGCGGTTTGATGTCGAACCTGAGCGCGTTAAAATGCCTGTCGAACAGCCTTTTCAATGCCGGCGTTTTTAGCCATACGATGGTTCCAGGAAACCGTTTCCCCTGGCAAAGTGGCGCACCACTGATCCGCTGCATGGTGCAAGGCCGAGAGCTTAGGACGTGGCTCAGACCGCCTCTGATCGCCCCGATCAGAGGCGATCAATCAATTCCAGGAAGCCCCGAGAACAATTTCAGGCAATCAGAGGCAATCAGTTGATCGCGATCAATTGATCGCCCCAACTCGATCAACCGCCTCAAACACCCCAATCAATCACAATCACACACAATCAGTCGCGATCACTTGATTGCATGGGATTGGGGATCTTGGCGAAGCCCGCGAATAAGTTACAGTGTCTCGTTAATCTCGTCAAGCCGTCGCGCATGCATCTTTGAATGTGGAATTTGCTATATTACATGGAAACATAGATTTCGCTACGCCTTCGTTCTCGCCAAAATTGGGACGAAAGGGTTAGGAAATGCTGAAACGCTTGCGAGGCAGGCGCTTTTAAATTTCTAGGAATATCAGCACTGATCAAGCGGCGCGAGCAATGCAATCACAAGCAACCCGATCAGATCCGCCCCGATCAGATCAGCGCCGATCAGAGGCGGTCTGGGCCACGTCCTTACATCATGCGGGGGATCAGTGATGCGGCCAATCATATGCGACTGGTCGAATGTGCTGGCCAATCATATGATTGTTCGAAGGCGCTTTTCACCTTCGACCTGACTTCCTCGAATTTTACACCCCTTCCGCGGCATCACGTTTAACCCCCATAATGCCAGCCGAACAGGGCAACCCGTTTTCTAGAAGGTGCACTGCATGCACCGCCTGACTTCGAGGATTTTTCGAGCTGGCGTTTTTTCGAGGCTGGTTAAAAACGCTCAAACGCCCGTAACGCCAGCCGAACTGGGCCCTGATCGTCGGTGATTGGGTGGGGCTGTGTTTGATTGGGCGGTTTTAGGCGGTTGATCGAGTTGGGGCGATCAGCTGATCGCGATCAAGTGATTGCCCCCGATTGCCCGAAATCGCCACCTTAGCTTCCCAGAAGTTATTGATCGACTCTGATCGTGGCAATCAGAGGCGAACCGTAACACGTCCTTACCATTTTGAACCGGACAGAAACAGAGTAGACCGCGAAGAACATATACGAAATGTACGAGTTGGACTCCCATCGCCTGACAGAGCTGAAGCGTCGTAATTCGCCAGGTTTAGGATCGTCCCGATTACGAATTCGCCACAGAGTGCACTAAGGATCAAGATCTCTCGCAACTCGCGGTGCCTTAAGTCGTCGAAGCACCACCCTCTTCGCCTCCCCTGATCTCGACCCGCCTCGTTGCGCCTCCGTCGCCGTCCTTTCGTTGCGAGGATTTAAGGTACGGCGCGCCTCCCTCGTCGCGCCTCCCTTCCTTTCCTCGCGCCTCCCCTGCTTTTGTCGAGCCTATCCTCCCCTCATCGAGCCTTTCTCCCATCGTGCGCCACCCTCGTCCCCCTCGTCGTCTTATAAAGTACCCATTTATGCTTTGTCCATCTAAATCTCGTGCAACAACACTTTGAATTGGGTAATTATTAACACATTCTTATGTAACCACGGAAGGTGAGCTGGCAAGGAGGAAAGGGGTGATGAGAAGGAAGGGAAGGGAGATGGGAAGGCAGGGGAGAGAGATGGGAGGCAGGGGGGAGAGATGGGAGGCAGGGGGGAGAGATGGGAGGCAGGGGGGAGAGATGGGAGGCAGGGGGGAGAGATGGGAGGCAGGGGGGAGAGATGGGAGGCAGGGGGGAGAGATGGGAGGCAGGGGGGAGAGATGGGAGGCAGGGGGGAGAGATGGGAGGCAGGGGGGAGAGATGGGAGGCAAGGGGGAGAGATGGGAGGCAGGGGGGAGAGATGGGAGGCAGGGGGGAGAGATGGGAGGCAGGGGGGAGAGATGGGAGGCAGGGGGGAGAGATGGGAGGCAGGGGGGAGAGATGGGAGGAAGGGGGGAGAGATGGGAGGCAGGGGGGAGAGATGGGAGGCAGGGGGGAGAGATGGGAGGCAGGGGGGAGAGATGGGAGGCAGGGGGGAGAGATGGGAGGCAGGGGGGAGAGATGGGAGGCAGGGGGGAGAGATGGGAGGCAGGGGGGAGAGATGGGAGGCAGGGGGGAGAGATGGGAGGCAGGGGGGAGAGATGGGAGGCAGGGGGGAGAGATGGGAGGCAGGGGGGAGAGATGGGAGGCAGGGGGGAGAGATGGGAGGCAGGGGGGAGAGATGGGAGGCAGGGGGGAGAGATGGGAGGCAGGGGGGAGAGATGGGAGGCAGGGGGGGAGAGATGGGAGGCAGGGGGGAGAGATGGGAGGCAGGGGGGAGAGATGGGAGGCAGGGGGGAGAGATGGGAGGCAGGGGGGAGAGATGGGAGGCAGGGGGGAGAGATGGGAGGCAGGGGGGAGAGATGGGAGGCAGGGGGGAGAGATGGGAGGCAGGGGGGAGAGATGGGAGGCAGGGGGGAGAGATGGGAGGCAGGGGGGAGAGATGGGAGGCAGGGGGGAGAGATGGGAGGCAGGGGGGAGAGATGGGAGGCAGGGGGGAGAGATGGGAGGCAGGGGGGAGAGATGGGAGGCAGGGGGGAGAGATGAGTAGGGGGGGGGACGGGAAGGTATGCAGCGGAGATAGGAAGTTAGGGGGGAGAGATATGAAGGCAGGAAGGCAGGGAAGGGAGATGGGAAGGCAGGGAAGGGAGATGGGAAGGCAAAGAGGGGGGATGCGAAGGAAGATTTGGGAAGGAAGGGAGATGAGATTGGGAGGAAGGGAGATGAGATGGGGAGGAAGGGAGATGAGAAATGGGAAGGAAGGGAGGAGAAATGGGAAGGAAGAGCGGGGTGATAGGAGAGAAGGGCGGGGAGATGGGAAGGACGGGAGGGGGGGGGCGGGGAACCTGCGAGGCGAGGTGAAACGAGTCCACGAGGGGAGCGGAGGCGTGGCATGAAATTGAGGCGCAGTGAGAAAAGGCATGGCGCTGCCTCCAATGGAAGGGGATGAGGTCGCGTTGGGACGACCGGCTGGGCCTCGAATGGAGGAGAGACGAGGCCCTTTCGAGGGGCGCTGAGGCGAGGACGCGAGAGGTGGCGAGACAGGTGTGAGAGCCCTGTGGTTGGAAGCGGGCGGGCGTGGCTAGTGTCGTTTCACCAATGTAACGTGTGTTTTACGGTGGCGTTGCCTAGGCGAGACTGCGAGGGCGAGCGAGGCCTTTGGGCACGCGCGTAAACACCGTAACCTTATTTCAGGCACTTGCTTCCCGATAGGTCGCTTATCACGCTGCCGGTTGGCGAGTCTAGACGTGCTCGTTTACGGAATAAGGGGCGAGTGGCGTGTCCTCTCACTACCAACATGTTGAGTGCACTTTTGGATATATGTGAGAGTGGGCCATCACTGATGAGAGGTGTTGGAGAAAATTACTTCGCCTCTGGGACGAGGGTGTCAGGAAATTGCCGTTTGTGAATGTAGTCGCTCCTGAGCCTTAAATCTGAGCAATGCGGGATTCCTTGTTTATTGTTCCTTCCCCTCCCCCCCTGCGTCTTGTGTTGCACTGACGTCCCCCCAGCCAGCTATGGCGTTGCTCCTCCTAGTGCCGTGCCTCCTCGCGCTCCTGCTGTCGCTCACCTGCCACGTGGACGCAGCTCAGTGGCACGATTGCGGTGAGACTCTTCCCGAGAGCAGCCCTTCTCGCCACACACCCTTTCATCTTGCTGTCAAACCCCAGTGCCGTTGCCCTGCCCCCATGCGCGTGTGCCCATGACTCCCCTCTTTCCTTGTATGCACCTCCTCCCCATCTCGCCTCCTCGCCCTCGCCTCTCCCACTCGCTACGCACCTCACCGACCCCCCTCCTTCAATCACCTCCTTCAATCACCTCCTTCAATCACCTCTCTCCACTGTTCGTTTCTGCTTACTTCCATCCTCTTCACAGTAACTCGCGCTCAGGTGTGATGATGTGGCCAGGTGTGATGATGTGGCCAGGTGTGATGATGTGGCCAGGTGTGATGATGTGGCCAGGTGTGATGATGTGGCCAGGTGTGATGATGTGGCCAGGTGTGATGATGTGGCCAGGTGTGATGTTGTGGCCAGGTGTGATGATGTGGCCAGGTGTGATGATGTGGCCAGGTGTGATGTTGTGGCCAGGTGTGATGATGTGGCCAGGTGTGATGATGTGGCCAGGTGTGATGATGTGGCCAGGTGTGATGATGTGGCCAGGTGTGATGATGTGGCCAGGTGTGATGATGTGGCCAGGTGTCATCATCAGGCCTTCACGCACCTTCTCTTCTTCCCTCTCCTCAACCGCCCGCAATTCCCCTCCGCGCGTTCTGCTGCAGGCTCCCAGCATGTGCCCGTCACAGTGAAGAACGTCACGATGCTGCCCGACCCGCCAGTTGCCGGCTCGGATTTCACAGTTGTGCTGCCCGCCGTCACAGGTGTGTGTGTGTGTGACAGGGGGTTGCTGCCTGTAGATTGCGTACTACGTGCGTACAAAATAAATAATAATAAGAAATAAAAAATACTCCCCTTTCCCTCCTCCCTTTCTCTGCTCCCCAGCGCCCCTCGCGTCCTCGGCTCATCTCCTTGCTGCATCCCTTCCTCACCCGGCCCCATTCAGCCACACCTCTTTCTTTCCCCGCCCACAGCAGCAGCGGCAGTGACGCTCACAGGGGCGTCCCATGGTGCGCCATGGGCGCGTCCACCCACCACCACCACTGCTCTACCCAACCCCCACGCTCTGCCTCTCCCTTCATCACTCTCTGCCCCACCCTCCACCAGCGGCGCGCATCCAGTCAGGGGTGGTGAGGGTGAGTGTGGCGTACTACGGGTGGCCGGTCTACACGTCCACGGTGCAGCTGTGTGACAAGACACCCTGCCCCGTGCTGCCAGGCGCCTTCACCTTCTCCAATCAGCAGCCCCTGCCCTTCCTGACCCCCGCTGTGAGCACTGCCCTTCCTCACTCCCGCTGTGAGCACTGCCCTTAATCATACCCACTATGACCTGGATAGCACTTGCTGTGAGCACCATCTTGCCTCACATCCTCGCCCCCCGGCCGATAACCACAGGGTGCGTACACGCTGTGGCTCAAGGCGCGCGACAGCAACGGGCGAGAGCTGTTCTGCACGCGAGTGGATTTCACCATCGTGCGCCCGCAGGCAGGGGGGGGGGCTGCCCTCTCTGCGCGTGCAGACGGCTTAGAGCGTGGCTCGCGCTCGCGGTGCAGTGGGAGGGGAGGGGACTTCACCATTGTGTGCCCGCAAGCTGGAAGCATCCAAGCGGGGGAGAGGCAGCCCAGCCCACTCACCACTGCGTGCAGACGGCTTAGAGTGGCTCTCGCTTGTGGTGCACTGGGAAGCAATAAATAAATGAATAAATGCTCAGTGCAGCGGTTTGGCAGTCGGTTGAGAATGGGAATGAATAAATGACGACAAGACTTTATAATGAGAATGCACACTGGGGTTGCTTAGCCTCACATGACAAGCCTTTGAAGCCAGCCAAGTTGCCAAGCTGCATGTGATGTTAATATGTGAGTGTTTGGAGTTGGGGAGCTCACACAATGTGTAGTGCTGAGCAAGTGAAAACAATATGATTAAACTTGATCAAGATGTGAAAGGGCTGCATAAAGCTCCCATTGTTATGTGCAAATTGTCAGCTCGCCCGACTAATCCGTAATACAAGAGTATTAAATAGCGGGTACAAAGTCCATCCCCATCACTTCAATCCTCAACCACCTGGGAATCCATCGCAAGGCTTTCCAATGCTCGCGCCACGGCACCATCGCCGAGTAGCTCCTTTTTCCTTTCTCGCCTTCTCGTCCCTGATCCCCGTTGGCGCGCTTGTTCGGCGTTTCTTCCTTCACATTCTGCATCAACTTATCTTCGAGGCGCCTTAGAAGCTACTCGTTCCGGCCGCACATTCTCGCGCGCATTGCCGCCGTCTCCCAAGCCGTCCACTTGACGTAGTCCGGTCTAACTTATTCTTGACTGGTGCTCCTGTCGCGCACTGCGACAAATCGGTGAGTGCGACGGCGTGCAACATCAAGGATGGTAGCTCTCACAGTTTCCTATTGCTCGCCCGATCTTCCGTCTCCTGATTTGTCCCTTCCGCATCCCCCATCTCTCCATCCCGTCCGCTCCCCATCTCCCTGCACAGCGCGCGATGGCTCCGCGCCCGAAGAAGAAGGCGGTCGTGCGCGCCTCCGATCGCGCAAGCAGCTCCGCCGACGCGCACGCAGGGCACGCGCGGTGGGCGTCGATGCGCTCGCTGCTGCTCCTGGGCGGCGCGGGAATGCTCTTCTATTTCCTCCTCGCGCGCTCCGACTACTCCGCGGGGTACCGCCACGGCGGGCCCATGGGCGCATGGCGCGGGGGGGGCGCGGGCGGAAGGGACGAGCGCTGGATGGGCGGGGAGGACCAGTGGGGCGCGCGCGGGGGCGCAATGGGGAGGGGGGAGTGGGGAGGCGCCGGGGGGCAGTTTGGGGATCGGCGCGGGTTTGAGGGCGCGGCGGGCGGGTGGCAAGGCGCTGGTGGTGGGGACTGGCGGAACGACGGGGGAGGGCCTCGGCAGCTGGCAGGGGGGGATAGGCTGGGGGGCCCACAGGGAGGGGGATGGGGCCAGCAAGGGGCCGCTGGAGGGTGGGACGCGGGGAGAGGGGGGAACGGGTTTCCGCAACAGGGGGGCGGATGGGGGGCAGGCGGGGGGATTCAAATGCCAGGCGGGGAGGGGGCGGGCGGGATAGGCGGAGGAGCTGGGGGAATGGCTACTGGCGGCGGCGGTTGGGGCGGATTGAGAGGGGGAGCAGCGGGCGGAATGGGTGAGCCCCAGCAGACGATGCCTCAGGGGGCACTGCCCATGCAGCACGGTGCGCAGGGCGCGCAGGGCGGGCAGTGGGGCGGCGCAGGGGGCGGGGAGAGCAGCGGGTGGGGCAGCGGCACGACAGCCCAGGCGCTCCCCCAGCAGCAGTGGGGCGCGCAGGGCGCCACCTCGGGCGCAGCAGCAGCAGCAGTTGGGGGAGGGGGAGGGGGAGGGGCCGGGGGAGCAGTGGGGGGAGGGGCAGCAGGGGAGAGCGCGTTCGTGAGTGCGCCACACGCGCACTGGAAGCCGGTGGACGGGCAGTTCCCCCTGGAGGGCGGCACGCCCCAGCGCTCATACCTCACAGTAGACATCTCCCGCACGCTGCTCAAGCGCGTGCACCTCGACGCCACTCGCTTCTCCGACGAGGCCAAGCCCAAACCCAAGGGCGCCCCTCCGCCACGTGCCTCGCGCGGCCCCCCCTGCCCCGACTTTGAGTTTGCATACGAGCGGTTGCCCGGTGTGGGGTCGTGCTGGGAGGCGCCCCTCGCGGACAGCTCCCGCACGCCCACGCGGTACCCCGCCAACTGCCCGTCGCTGGACGAGAGCTGCATCCAGGAAACCGACTTCCAACCGCACCCCAAGTGGGCCGCGCAGGTGAGGAAGAATAGGGGGAACATGGGAGAGGGGCTGAGGGCGGGGGTAAGGGTGGGAAGGGACCTGCTAGTCGAACCACTCCCTCCACAAACACTGTTGCGCGCTTACAATTGGTCGCTGCTCCCCTTGCCCTCCCTCGTCCCACTTGCCTTGTGCGTCTCCACAACCCCTTCATCCCTACATTGGAAAATACGCCCTTAGGGGGTGGGCGTATTGCGTAATACGCTAGCGTATGTACGCAATACGCTAATACGCCTAAAAATCGCTAAAATACGCCGGGGCAGCCCGTGAAAAAAAAAAAAAAAAAAAAAAAAACTTCCAAAAAAATTGCGAGAATTTGCGACGGCGAGAATTGAACCCTCGACCTCGCACAGCACCCAACCCCCGTCTGCAATTCGAAATTCAAAGTCCAACCCCTCCCACATCCCCAACCTCACACCACCCCTCTCAACCTCCTTAACCCAACCTCCCCCCTTTCACTCGTTCGAACATCTCCTCAATCCCTATACAGCTCGTCTTTCATTCAATCCCGCATTTCTCTTCTTGCATTTCGTCCAACTCTCGTCGAGTTCGAACTCTCCTAGCTTTAGTACTTCCTCGCCATAGTGACCTCTACTCCCTACATTTTGAGGGCGGAACCTGCCCGGGAAAAAGTTTTACCTGCCCGCCCAGCGTATTTTTGCGTATCAGCAGTACGCCAGCCATGGCGTACCGCGTATATACCAAGCGTATAATACGCTAGCGTATAATACTCGATACTCGTATTTTCCAACGTAGCTTCATCCCCCTCCTCCCCCGTCCGTAGCCCCATCCTCCCCACGCACCTGCTCATCCCAACCAACCCCCCCCCCCCCCCCCGAGTGCACTGCACTGCTCCTGTGCTCCACGTCCCCCTGCCACTGTCCTCCACCACACGTCAGTGCGCCTTGCTTCCAATGCACCCCCTCCCTTCGCCACCCAAATCCCCTAGCCAAATCCCCTCCCCACCTCTCCCCCCACACCCCTGTGGCCGGGCAGGTGTTGTGTTGGTGCTTCATACGTGCACGTGAGCCTGGCAGGGCAGGTGTTCAATGACACTCAACCCCTCCCACACTCCCTCTCCTATCACCCCACGCCCCCATTCCAACCCCCCTCACCCCTTGTTCCAGGTGCTGGTGTTACACAACGTGTATGTGAACCTGGCCGGGCAGGTGTTCAACGAGACGCACCTCTTCGACCACAACGCCTGCGCCGTCACGCTCGCCGCCGCCAACTTCCGGTACGCGTCGGGGCGCACGCGCGTGCGGCGCTTCAAGGAGCTCGTGTCGCTCGTCGACTGGTTCGCCTGGTCCGCCCGCGCCTACCTGCTCGAACTCATCCCGCTCTTCGTCTCGCTGCGCAAGGTGCGTGCGTGCGTGTCAGACAGGTGTGCACTGCCGTCACGGGCCGTCCAGGCGGGCAGCACAACGAGAGAGCAAAGTACCTCGCCTCCACTTCCTTTGAAGCCTGCCTGCTGTACTGTACCTCATGCCCTCACCCTACCTTCCCACCCAACACGTCCTTCCCATTCCAACCCACCCTCTCTCCATCCTCCTCTGCCCTCTCCTCTTACCATTTTCTCTCCTCCGTGCACAACCATTCTGGGCGTGCCGCTCCCACCCATTCCCCCCTCCGCGCCATTGTCTCTCCACCATCCTCACCCCCCTCCCCTCCCGCCCACAACCAGGTGATGCCGCTCCACATTGCCACCCTCGCCCCTGGCCACGATCACTCGTCATCAGGCGCCACGCGAGAGCAACGCTTGCAGCGCCTCGCCTCCACCGCGAGTTGCTGCCACACCTTCTCAAGCCGCCCTGCTCTACCTCATGCCCTCACCCTCCCCTTCTCAAACCTGTGTGCTCCCAACCCATTTCCCCCCTCCTCACCCCACCCTCTCTCCACCCTCGTCTGCCCTCTGCTGTCCTTCCTGTCCCCCGTCCTTCCCTCGGATCCCTCCCCACCGCCCGCCCGCCCCACCCCGTGCAGGTGATGCCAGCGATGAGGGGCGTGGCGGTGGCGGTGGGGCACCGGTTGACGCACAGGCGGAATCAGATGCAGCAGATGGTGGCGCTGGGCGCGGAGGACATCCTGGGCGTGCAGCTGAGCCGCATGAACGTGCACGTGCTGCAGGGCGCCGACCTCTTCTTCGCCGAGAAGCTCATCCTCGTGCGTTTCAAGGAGGGGGGAAGGGGATGGGTGTGCCCTGGGGGGGTGGGGGTGCGTTTTGGGGGGCTGGGGTGCCATTGGGTTGAGTGGGGGGGAATGGGATTGGGGGGACGATGGTGTGCTCTGGGTAGATGGGGTGCCGTGGGGGTGGGGTACCATGGCGCTGTGAAGTGATGGACTTGCAGTCAGATGTGGGGATACCCTAAACCCCACTGCACGGTTTGAGGGGCTGCAGGGTTGAAGGAATCGGCATGCACAGGTGTGTGCACCTGTGTTGTCCAGGTTCATGTGCACGTCTCCACCCTTCACTGCTTATTCTCCTGTCATTCCTTGGTCCACCTCTCTCTCCCTCTCTTCCCAGCCCTCTGCCGCCATGCGCCCAACTCTACTCCAAACCTCCCTCCCATCCCTCATTCGCATCACCCCTGCAAGCAACGCTGCCACTAATCGTCCGATGCGCCACTCCACTGCCACCCATGCCCACCACTGCATGCCCACCACTGCATGCCCACCACTGCATTCCCACCACTGCATGGTCACCACTGCATGGTCACCACTGCATTCCCACCACTGCATGGTCACCACTGCATTCCCACCACTGCATGGTCACCACTGCATGGTCACCACTGCATGGTCACCACTGCATTCCCACCACTGCATGGTCACCACTGCATTCCCACCACTGCATGGTCACCACTGCATTCCCACCACTGCATGGTCACCACTGCATTCCCACCACTGCATGGTCACCACTGCATGGTCACCACTGCATTCCCACCACTGCATGGTCACCACTGCATTCCCACCACTGCATTCCCACCACTGCATTCCCACCACTGCATTCCCACCACTGCATTCCCACCACTGCATTCCCACCACTGCATTCCCACCACTGCATGCGCCCCTACGTTGGCAGATACGCCTTGGGCAGGGTTGCGTACCACCAATGCCTGCATGGGCCTCTGCTTGTCCTCACGCCTTCTCTCACTTCGTCTCCTTTCAACCTAAACCTTCCCCTCCCCTCCCCCCTCACTCCCACCACTACAGCCGCTGCACCAGCGCTGCGGCCAACCATCGCGTGCCATGTGGCAGTACATCCGAAACCACCACTTCCTCCCCAAGAACGGCCTCCCCATGTTCTACTCTGGTGAGCCCCCTCTCTGGTGAGCCCCTCCTCTGGTGAGCCCCTCCTCTGGTGAGACCCTCCTCTGGTGAGCCCCCTCTCTGGTGAGCCCCCTCTCTGGTGAGCCCCTCCTCTGGTGAGCCCCCCATCTGGTGAGCCCTTCCCTCCTCTGGTGAGCCCCAACTCTCCCCGTTGCTCTACATGGGCACACACTCCACTCAGGCAGGCCCCCACACCCCTCCTTGCTTCAATTGCACATGCCACTTTCCTCCCCCGTCCCTCCACCAGACTACCGCCCCACAGCAGTGGCGGAGAACCCGCCCCCCAAGGACTCGTTCACGCCGCGCAACGACTGGGTGGTGCTGCTGGGGTGGAAGAACTCGCGCGAGGAGCTGCTCAAGTCGCTGCGCCTCAAGGAGCAGCTGGAGGAGCTCTTCCCCGCCGACCGCGTGCTGGTGTACCGCGAGGGCGCGCACAGCATCCCGCGCCGCAAGGACCTGCTCAACCGCGCGCACCTGCTGGTGGCGCCGCACGACAACCTGCTGGCGGACCTCGTCTTCATGCCGCCCGGCGCCGCCGTGGTGGAGATCCGCCCCGTGGACGACCCCGACCCCGTGTTCCACCTGCTGGCCGACGTGTGCGACATGGAGTACTACCTGGCGTTCAGTGAGCCCGTGGACAGCAAGGGCAAGGGCAAGGCGGGCAAGGGCGGGGAGGTGGCGCTGCGGGCCAAGGACCCCAAGGCCGTTGAGCGGCTGCTCAAGGAGATTTCCAGGAAGGTTCTGGCCAAGGTGGAGCAGCTGAAGCACGTGTAGGTTGACACTTGCCTCGTGATGGTGGCGGTTGCGTGGCAAGTGATTGTGATTTGGTAGGTCAAGATACTTGGGCTGAGAAAAAGCCCTTAGGATCGTTTTCAAGACTAAGACTCAGGATGGTGATGTATTAGCGGAAGCGTTCAATGAGAACTAGTTGAACCACCTTGCACTGGTGTGTGAGAACAAGATGAGTTAATAATAGCAAAGAGATACAGGGCTTTATAAGATTACAAGGAATATGAAAGGTTCAACTAAGGGCATGTTCCTACGGCCCCTTATCAGGGACACCTCGTATCAGCTTCGCATTTTTGCCTGGTAAAATTCGCGAAAGTTTTTGGGTTTAGGGAAATTTCAGTGTATTGTGACGCGAGCCTGATAAGAGGTTGGCCTGATAAGGGGCCGTAGGAACATGCCCTAACTGTAACTGCTGTTGCGGTTCGATACATCGACGACTCGGGCAGGGCCCACGATATCAGGGCAAAACATGCTGATTACCCTGATTTCAGGATGGTGTTGTTGGGCTGAGAAAAGCCCTTAGGATCTTTGCAAGGCTAAACTCAGAGAAGAAATGTTGTAGTTGCGGAAGCGTTTTAATGATAAGTATTGAACCACCTTGCGCTAGTATGTGAGGGCAAGATAGATTGATTATAAGAAAGTAATACAAGCCTTTTATAAGATTACAAGGAATATGAAAGGGTGCAACTAATATCTGTTTTACTGTTGCTGTTGCGGTTCGATACAGTGACGACTCGGGCAACTGCTCAGTATCGAGTCAGTTGTTTGTCCTTGCTGTCGCGATGTATTTGTCAAGTCAAAGGTCGCTGACCTTTGACCTTCGCGTAACCTCCAGCAGTTACTTTCTCTTGTCAACCTCCGATGGTTGACTCGCCGTTGCTTCGTTGTAGTTTGCTTCGCTTGCAGTTCAGTGTTTCGACACATCAGAAGCGCTTAGGTCACTTGTTTCCAACACTCCCCTTCGCTTCTGGAGTGTCGCCGCTGGTGACGTGGCTTTGTCCAGTCAGCAGCATGCAGTACTCGAACTTCTGTTTTCCGAGCTTCTTGGTCAAGTAATCAGCTGCCATCTCGGACGTGGGACAGTAGGACAGCTCAAGTCTCCCCTTCTCGATCTCGTCCTTCACGAAGAAGTATCGCAGGGCGATGTGCTTCGTTCTGTTCGCGAATCCATTCTTGTTGGCGATGCGAATTGCTGACTGATTGTCGCAAAACAGAGAGAAGCTGGGTAACTGGGCCAGCTTCGCTTCTTCCAGTAGTTCGCGAAGGTATAATCCTTCCTTGGTGGCGGAGCAAAGTGCAATTTATTATGCTTCAGCTGAGGAGAGAGCGATTAGTTCCTGCTTGCTCGACTGCCACGAGATAGGCCCGATAGGTTCAAGTCGATAGATGTAGCCGGTGCGCGAGCGCCTGTTGTCAGCGTCGCCGGCGTGGTCGGCATCTACATAGCCGATTAGCTTAGGTGCCGAGGTTCCGTTTTTGTAGTAGGTCAGGCCGATCGTTGAAGTACTGACGAGATAGTGAAGAGCGCGGTCGAGCTCGGCCATGTGATCTGCTTCAGGCTTCTTGAGGTAGGTGGCGAGTTGGCTCGCCGAGTACGATTAGGTCAGGTCGACAGGTGACGGCTGCGAAGAGGAGACATCCTAGCTTTCGCTGGTAGTCGCGTATGCCGGCGGGCTTGAGTGGTGCGGAGATTCCTTCGTGGCTCGCGGAGGTGTAGCGGTACGGTGTGGAAATAGCAGTTGGAGTTAATCCGAAGCGTTTCGCGATGGTGTCGGCGTATTTTGCGGCGCTGAGGTAGATCGCGTTCTCTTCTTCCTGAATGTTGAGCCCGAGGTATTGTGTTACGGTGGATGAGACGGTGAGCGTTAAGTCCCGCTGCAGCTCCCCTTCGAACCAAGTTGTGATGCCGTCGGTCGAGCCGATGTAGAGTAGATCGTCCACGTAGACGATCAGCAGGATGTAGTCGATGCCTTTCGTGAGCCGGTACATGCCCTGGTCGTGCGGTAGCTGGCGGAATCCGATGCGGATGAGCCGCGCGTGTAGGTATTGCTGCCACAGTCTCGGGGCCTGTTTGATGCCGTACAGGGACTTCAGCAGTTGACAGACTTGGTTGGGGTCTGCGTTGGAGCCGTGTGGTTGCTCGACGAAGATCTCAGCATCGACAGGTGCGTAGAGAAAAGCGTTGGCGACGTCGATTTGGCGTAGCTTCTTCTTCTTCATGGCGGCTATCGCGAGGAGAATTCGCAGAGAGGTGTGTCGGCTGACCGGTGTGAACGTTTCGGTGAAGTCCCGTCCGTGCTCTTGGTCAAAGCCGCGTACGACCCAGCGTGCTTTAAACTTGTCGATGGTGCCGTCTGCTTTGGTTTTCACGCGGAAAACCCATTTCCCGGTGAGGATTGTATTGTTGCGTGCTACGCCGATGGGAACGATTTTCCAGGTGTTGCGTTCTTCCAGTGCTTTTAATTCCTTGTCCATGGCTTCGCGCCATTTTTCCCTGGCTCCGAAGTTGTCGCTGTGGTGTCATTGGCTGTTGCAGATTTGGGCAGTGAGTCCGAGGGTGTCCTGACGTCTTGCAAAGATGACAGAACGGCGGTACGTGCTGTTACTGTTGTTGTTTATTCTGTCGGTTGAAGTTGTTGAAGCGCCGTTGAGTGTGAAATGCAAATTCGGGTACTGACGTTTTCTTCTTGTGCCGCTCCTCGTGCAGGTCCATGTCTTGTTGTTCAGCGTGTATTTCGGCGCAGAGTGCCGCCTCATCTTCCCGTGAGCTCGAAGTATGGCTCAAGTGGAGCGCCAATGAGGACCAAGGCCGGTGATGACGACTGTGACGCAGGCTTCTTTAGATATCGATCCTCCGCATCGAATGAGTTTGTCGCGCAATTCGCGACAGCGACTGATATACGCCATCCCTTTTTCGCCGGGTTTCATTTCCACTATTGTCAGTTGTGCCATTAACCGACTCTGATTGACGATGTCTGTTGCTTGATACAGGTTCTTCAAATGGTTGTACGCGAGCTCGGCGGAGTTGCCGTATCCCCGATAAGACCGGATGTTCTGCTGCTGGTTTGGAGTTATGTTCCTCAGCAGGATCGTGTATGCCATCATCGACTGATATGTGTGTTGTTGTTTGTCATACTGCGTCCCGTGTGTTGGATATGGCAGGGACCCGTCAAAGAATCCAAGAATCTGCGCGCCTTCCATCATCAGTTCAAACTCGAATGACCAGGTATAGAAGTCTTTGCCGTCGAAAGGCGTTGATGTCTGTAATTTCAAGACGTGCACGAACTGCGATTGAACCTGGAGTGCATCCAGTGTCTTCTCCTGTCCAGGTCGAGGCTGTTGTTGCGGCATAAAGCTGACTGAGCCACGTTGAGGCTCATACGGAGCAAAGGTGGGTTGCTGCTGGTTTCCGCGCGCATAGGATGAGCCATCGAGACTCATGGGTATAACATCGTTATTGTTGTTGCTGATGTTTGACTGCGCAAGTGCCGCTTGCTGATGTTGTTTGTAGAAGGACATGAAGGAGAAGAATTTCTCCATCATACTTGGGTCAAAGCCTGTTGCTTGGTTCGCAGGAGTCTCAGTAGACTCAGCTGCTGGTCTTGTTGCTGTACCTCCCTCTGTCTGTAGGCCAGAGGCTGGAGGTGGAGTAGGAGTAGTGCCGGGAGAGCCGTTAGAGGAGCTTCTCTCCTTCTGTGTTGCCATGCCTTCTGATGTTGTAGGAGTTGGAACGAAGTGGAGTTTGCATTGTTAGCTCTGATACCATGTTGGGCTGAGAAAAGCCCTTAGGATCTTTGCAAGGCTAAACTCAGAGTAGAAATGTTGTAGTTGCGGAAGCGTTTTAATGATAAGTATTGAACCACCTTGCGCTAGTATGTGAGGGCAAGATAGATTGATGATAAGAAAGTAATACAAGCCTTTTATAAGATTACAAGGAATATGAAAGGGTGCAACTAATAACTGTTTTACTGTTGCTAATGCGGTTCGATACAGTGACGACTCGGGCAACTGCTCAGTATCGAGTCAGTTGTTTGTCCTTGCTGTCGCGCTGTATTTGTCAAGTCAAAGGTCGCTGACCTTTGACCTTCGCGTAACCTCCAGTAGTTACTTTCTCTTGTCAACCTCCGATGGTTGACTCGCCGTTGCTTCGTTGTAGTTTGCTTCGCTTGCAGTTCAGTGTTTCGACACATCAGAAGCGCTTAGGTCACTTGTTTCCAACAGGTGTTTTAAGTTTGCCCTGGAATTTCAGAATGACGCTGAAATTTACCCTGTGACGTCAGGATGATTCTTGTGTTTTGCCCTGGAATTTCAGAATGGCAGTGAAATTTTGCCCTGAAGCGATAGAGTGAATGTAGAGGGATGCCCTGACTCGTGGGAAGGGGAGAAGGGGTGGAGGGGGGAGAGGGGGAGAGGGGAGGAAGGAGGCTGGGGGGTGTGTGTGCTAGTTTTGTCCCCACCCCTCCCCCTCCAAAGTTTATGCTCAGCCATTAGATCCACGGGGTAAACTTGGCAGCCATGGATTAGATCTAGGAATGGCTTTAGGTGAGAATTCAGATCTGCAAAGTCATGAGTTTGTCAAACCCTACCATCCCAACCCTCGCCCTACAACAACCCTTAACAAACCAGTGTGCCAAACTAGCAACACCAAAGGTGTTGTAGTGAATAGCGAAGGTTTGTTGTGCTTGTTGGGTGCGAGTTCGAATCCAGCCCGCAACAAGTCAAGCAACCACATTTTTCCCAAGCCCTTAGCCCACAATTAGCTAGAGCAAAATACCACAACCACCAACACAATCAACACTCCCCCTTGCTCGTGCTTCAGATGGCTCAACACCACTGGGAAAAACCGTCCTTCACTCCACTCCCCCTTGCCCAGAGAAGGGCGCCATCAGCAGCATGATGTAGTCAAGGGGGAGAATCACCAACCCTCCCAAATCCTGCTCAGGAACCATGCCAACATGGGGCTGCATCCTTAGCAAGGACATGCACACACCATGCCAAGGGAAGAGGTTTGGTGAGTATATCGGCTGCTTGGCGGTTGGTCGGACACCACCGGAGGATCACCTCACCACCAGCCACCATCTCCCTGATGAAATGCCGCCGAACCTGCATGTGCTTGGTGTGGCCATGCAAGCATGCATTCTGTGCAAGGGCAATGGCAGACTGGTTGTCCACAAACACAGGCACACCACCAGCAAACTCATGCCCAAACCCCCCAAACAAACGCTTCAGCCACACACCCTCCTGAGTGCACTGACACAGACTGATGTACTCACTCTCAGTGGTGGACAATGCAACCACCAGCTGCCTCTTGCTTTGCCAATAGATGGCTGCACCATTGAGGCAATGGACATAGCCAGTGTGACTCCTGCAATTAACTGAATCTACAGCATAATCAGCATCATTAAAGCCCACCAACTCGACCTGAGGCTCATTGCGTGCGGGGAAGAAGATAACTGGCTTTGCACAACCTTTCAGGTACTTCAAGACCCTATTTGCAGCTTGCAGGTGGAATGCCTTGGTACAGGACACCACCTTGGACAGCTGTGACACTGCATAAGCAATCTGGAGCTGTGTGGTCATGCTTGCATACATGAGGGACCCCACAATGCTTTTATAGAGCTGAACTAGCTCATCTCTCAGCAAGTAGACATCTCCCGCACGCTGCTCAAGCGCGTGCACCTCGACGCCACTCGCTTCTCCGACGAGGCCAAGCCCAAACCCAAGGGCGCCCCTCCGCCACGTGCCTCGCGCGGCCCCCCCTGCCCCGACTTTGAGTTTGCATACGAGCGGTTGCCCGGTGTGGGGTCGTGCTGGGAGGCGCCCCTCGCGGACAGCTCCCGCACGCCCACGCGGTACCCCGCCAACTGCCCGTCGCTGGACGAGAGCTGCATCCAGGAAACCGACTTCCAACCACACCCCAAGTGGGCCGCGCAGGTGAGGAAGAATAGGGGGAACATGGGAGAGGGGCTGAGGGCGGGGGTAAGGGTGGGAAGGGACCTGCTAGTCGAACCACTCCCTCCACAAACACTGTTGCGCGCTTACAATTGGTCGCTGCTCCCCTTGCCCTCCCTCGTCCCACTTGCCTTGTGCGTCTCCACAACCCCTTCATCCCTACATTGGAAAATACGCCCTTAGGGGGTGGGCGTATTGCGTACATACGCTAGCGTATGTACGCAATACGCTAATACGCCTAAAAATCGCTAAAATACGCCGGGGCAGCCCGTAAAAAAAAAAAAAAAAAAAAAAACTTCCAAAAAAATTGCGAGAATTTGCGACGGCGAGAATTGAACCCTCGACCTCGCACAGCACCCAACCCCCGTCTGCAATTCGAAATTCAAAGTCCAACCCCTCCCACATCCCCAACCTCACACCACCCCTCTCAACCTCCTTAACCCAACCTCCCCCCTTTCACTCGTTCGAACATCTCCTCAATCCCTATACAGCTCGTCTTTCATTCAATCCCGCATTTCTCTTCTTGCATTTCGTCCAACTCTCGTCGAGTTCGAACTCTCCTAGCTTTAGTACTTCCTCGCCATAGTGACCTCTACTCCCTACATTTTGAGGGCGGAACCTGCCCGGGAAAAAGTTTTACCTGCCCGCCCAGCGTATTTTTGCGTATCAGCAGTACGCCAGCCATGGCGTACCGCGTATATACCAAGCGTATAATACGCTAGCGTATAATACTCGATACTCGTATTTTCCAACGTAGCTTCATCCCCCTCCTCCCCCGTCCGTAGCCCCATCCTCCCCACGCACCTGCTCATCCCAACCAACCCCCCCCCCCCCCCCCGAGTGCACTGCACTGCTCCTGTGCTCCACGTCCCCCTGCCACTGTCCTCCACCACACGTCAGTGCGCCTTGCTTCCAATGCACCCCCTCCCTTCGCCACCCAAATCCCCTAGCCAAATCCCCTCCCCACCTCTCCCCCCACACCCCTGTGGCCGGGCAGGTGTTGTGTTGGTGCTTCATACGTGCACGTGAGCCTGGCAGGGCAGGTGTTCAATGACACTCAACCCCTCCCACACTCCCTCTCCTATCACCCCACGCCCCCATTCCAACCCCCCTCACCCCTTGTTCCAGGTGCTGGTGTTACACAACGTGTATGTGAACCTGGCCGGGCAGGTGTTCAACGAGACGCACCTCTTCGACCACAACGCCTGCGCCGTCACGCTCGCCGCCGCCAACTTCCGGTACGCGTCGGGGCGCACGCGCGTGCGGCGCTTCAAGGAGCTCGTGTCGCTCGTCGACTGGTTCGCCTGGTCCGCCCGCGCCTACCTGCTCGAACTCATCCCGCTCTTCGTCTCGCTGCGCAAGGTGCGTGCGTGCGTGTCAGACAGGTGTGCACTGCCGTCACGGGCCGTCCAGGCGGGCAGCACAACGAGAGAGCAAAGTACCTCGCCTCCACTTCCTTTGAAGCCTGCCTGCTGTACTGTACCTCATGCCCTCACCCTACCTTCCCACCCAACACGTCCTTCCCATTCCAACCCACCCTCTCTCCATCCTCCTCTGCCCTCTCCTCTTACCATTTTCTCTCCTCCGTGCACAACCATTCTGGGCGTGCCGCTCCCACCCATTCCCCCCTCCGCGCCATTGTCTCTCCACCATCCTCACCCCCCTCCCCTCCCGCCCACAACCAGGTGATGCCGCTCCACATTGCCACCCTCGCCCCTGGCCACGATCACTCGTCATCAGGCGCCACGCGAGAGCAACGCTTGCAGCGCCTCGCCTCCACCGCGAGTTGCTGCCACACCTTCTCAAGCCGCCCTGCTCTACCTCATGCCCTCACCCTCCCCTTCTCAAACCTGTGTGCTCCCAACCCATTTCCCCCCTCCTCACCCCACCCTCTCTCCACCCTCGTCTGCCCTCTGCTGTCCTTCCTGTCCCCCGTCCTTCCCTCGGATCCCTCCCCACCGCCCGCCCGCCCCACCCCGTGCAGGTGATGCCAGCGATGAGGGGCGTGGCGGTGGCGGTGGGGCACCGGTTGACGCACAGGCGGAATCAGATGCAGCAGATGGTGGCGCTGGGCGCGGAGGACATCCTGGGCGTGCAGCTGAGCCGCATGAACGTGCACGTGCTGCAGGGCGCCGACCTCTTCTTCGCCGAGAAGCTCATCCTCGTGCGTTTCAAGGAGGGGGGAAGGGGATGGGTGTGCCCTGGGGGGGTGGGGGTGCGTTTTGGGGGGCTGGGGTGCCATTGGGTTGAGTGGGGGGGAATGGGATTGGGGGGACGATGGTGTGCTCTGGGTAGATGGGGTGCCGTGGGGGTGGGGTACCATGGCGCTGTGAAGTGATGGACTTGCAGTCAGATGTGGGGATACCCTAAACCCCACTGCACGGTTTGAGGGGCTGCAGGGTTGAAGGAATCGGCATGCACAGGTGTGTGCACCTGTGTTGTCCAGGTTCATGTGCACGTCTCCACCCTTCACTGCTTATTCTCCTGTCATTCCTTGGTCCACCTCTCTCTCCCTCTCTTCCCAGCCCTCTGCCGCCATGCGCCCAACTCTACTCCAAACCTCCCTCCCATCCCTCATTCGCATCACCCCTGCAAGCAACGCTGCCACTAATCGTCCGATGCGCCACTCCACTACCACCCATGCCCACCACTGCATGCCCACCACTGCATGCCCACCACTGCATTCCCACCACTGCATGGTCACCACTGCATGGTCACCACTGCATTCCCACCACTGCATGGTCACCACTGCATTCCCACCACTGCATGGTCACCACTGCATGGTCACCACTGCATGGTCACCACTGCATTCCCACCACTGCATGGTCACCACTGCATTCCCACCACTGCATGGTCACCACTGCATTCCCACCACTGCATGGTCATCACTGCATTCCCACCACTGCATGGTCACCACTGCATTCCCACCACTGCATGGTCACCACTGCATTCCCACCACTGCATGGTCACCACTGCATTCCCACCACTGCATGGTCACCACTGCATTCCCACCACTGCATGGTCACCACTGCATTCCCACCACTGCATGGTCACCACTGCATTTCCACCACTGCATGGTCACCACTGCATTCCCACCACTGCATGGTCACCACTGCATTCCCACCACTGCATGGTCACCACTGCATTCCCACCACTGCATGGTCACCACTGCATTCCCACCACTGCATGGTCACCACTGCATTCCCACCACTGCATGGTCACCACTGCATTCCCACCACTGCATGGTCACCACTGCATTCCCACCACTGCATGGTCACCACTGCATTCCCACCACTGCATGGTCATCACTGCATTCCCACCACTGCATGGTCACCACTGCATTCCCACCACTGCATTCCCACCACTGCATTCCCACCACTGCATTCCCACCACTGCATTCCCACCACTGCATTCCCACCACTGCATTCCCACCACTGCATGCGCCCCTACGTTGGCAGATACGCCTTGGGCAGGGTTGCGTACCACCAATGCCTGCATGGGCCTCTGCTTGTCCTCACGCCTTCTCTCACTTCGTCTCCTTTCAACCTAAACCTTCCCCTCCCCTCCCCCCTCACTCCCACCACTACAGCCGCTGCACCAGCGCTGCGGCCAACCATCGCGTGCCATGTGGCAGTACATCCGAAACCACCACTTCCTCCCCAAGAACGGCCTCCCCATGTTCTACTCTGGTGAGCCCCCTCTCTGGTGAGCCCCTCCTCTGGTGAGCCCCTCCTCTGGTGAGCCCCTCCTCTGGTGAGCCCCCTCTCTGGTGAGCCCCCTCTCTGGTGAGCCCCTCCTCTGGTGAGCCCCCCATCTGGTGAGCCCTTCCCTCCTCTGGTGAGCCCCAACTCTCCCCGTTGCTCTACATGGGCACACACTCCACTCAGGCAGGCCCCCACACCCCTCCTTGCTTCAATTGCACATGCCACTTTCCTCCCCCATCCCTCCACCAGACTACCGCCCCACAGCAGTGGCGGAGAACCCTCCCCCCAAGGACTCGTTCATGCCGCGCAACGACTGGGTGGTGCTGCTGGGGTGGAAGAACTCGCGCGAGGAGCTGCTCAAGTCGCTGCGCCTCAAGGAGCAGCTGGAGGAGCTCTTCCCCGCCGACCGCGTGCTGGTGTACCGCGAGGGCGCGCACAGCATCCCGCGCCGCAAGGACCTGCTCAACCGCGCGCACCTGCTGGTGGCGCCGCACGACAACCTGCTGGCGGACCTCGTCTTCATGCCGCCCGGCGCCGCCGTGGTGGAGATCCGCCCCGTGGACGACCCCGACCCCGTGTTCCACCTGCTGGCCGACGTGTGCGACATGGAGTACTACCTGGCGTTCAGTGAGCCCGTGGACAGCAAGGGCAAGGGCAAGGCGGGCAAGGGCGGGGAGGTGGCGCTGCGGGCCAAGGACCCCAAGGCCGTTGAGCGGCTGCTCAAGGAGATTTCCAGGAAGGTTCTGGCCAAGGTGGAGCAGCTGAAGCACGTGTAGGTTGACACTTGCCTCGTGATGGTGGCGGTTGCGTGGCAAGTGATTGTGATTTGGTAGGTCAAGATACTTCTGTTGGGCTGAGAAAAAGCCCTTAGGATCGTTTTCAAGACTAAGACTCAGGATGGTGATGTATTAGCGGAAGCGTTCAATGAGAACTAGTTGAACCACCTTGCACTGGTGTGTGAGAACAAGATGAGTTAATAATAGCAAAGAGATACAGGGCTTTATAAGATTACAAGGAATATGAAAGGTTCAACTAAGGGCATGTTCCTACGGCCCCTTATCAGGGACACCTCGTATCAGCTTCGCATTTTTGCCTGGTAAAATTCGCGAAAGTTTTTGGGTTTAGGGAAATTTCAGTGTATTGTGACGCGAGCCTGATAAGAGGTTGGCCTGATAAGGGGCCGTAGGAACATGCCCTAACTGTAACTGCTGTTGCGGTTCGATACATCGACGACTCGGGCAGGGCCCACGATATCAGGGCAAAACATGCTGATTACCCTGATTTCAGGATGGTGTTGTTGGGCTGAGAAAAGCCCTTAGGATCTTTGCAAGGCTAAACTCAGAGAAGAAATGTTGTAGTTGCGGAAGCGTTTTAATGATAAGTATTGAACCACCTTGCGCTAGTATGTGAGGGCAAGATAGATTGATTATAAGAAAGTAATACAAGCCTTTTATAAGATTACAAGGAATATGAAAGGGTGCAACTAATATCTGTTTTACTGTTGCTGTTGCGGTTCGATACAGTGACGACTCGGGCAACTGCTCAGTATCGAGTCAGTTGTTTGTCCTTGCTGTCGCGATGTATTTGTCAAGTCAAAGGTCGCTGACCTTTGACCTTCGCGTAACCTCCAGCAGTTACTTTCTCTTGTCAACCTCCGATGGTTGACTCGCCGTTGCTTCGTTGTAGTTTGCTTCGCTTGCAGTTCAGTGTTTCGACACATCAGAAGCGCTTAGGTCACTTGTTTCCAACACTCCCCTTCGCTTCTGGAGTGTCGCCGCTGGTGACGTGGCTTTGTCCAGTCAGCAGCATGCAGTACTCGAACTTCTGTTTTCCGAGCTTCTTGGTCAAGTAATCAGCTGCCATCTCGGACGTGGGACAGTAGGACAGCTCAAGTCTCCCCTTCTCGATCTCGTCCTTCACGAAGAAGTATCGCAGGGCGATGTGCTTCGTTCTGTTCGCGAATCCATTCTTGTTGGCGATGCGAATTGCTGACTGATTGTCGCAAAACAGAGAGAAGCTGGGTAACTGGGCCAGCTTCGCTTCTTCCAGTAGTTCGCGAAGGTATAATCCTTCCTTGGTGGCGGAGCAGAGTGCAATTTATTATGCTTCAGCTGAGGAGAGAGCGATTAGTTCCTGCTTGCTCGACTGCCACGAGATAGGCCCGATAGGTTCAAGTCGATAGATGTAGCCGGTGCGCGAGCGCCTGTTGTCAGCGTCGCCGGCGTGGTCGGCATCTACATAGCCGATTAGCTTAGGTGCCGAGGTTCCGTTTTTGTAGTAGGTCAGGCCGATCGTTGAAGTACTGACGAGATAGTGAAGAGCGCGGTCGAGCTCGGCCATGTGATCTGCTTCAGGCTTCTTGAGGTAGGTGGCGAGTTGGCTCGCCGAGTACGATTAGGTCAGGTCGACAGGTGACGGCTGCGAAGAGGAGACATCCTAGCTTTCGCTGGTAGTTGCGTATGCCGGCGGGCTTGAGTGGTGCGGAGATTCCTTCGTGGCTCGCGGAGGTGTAGCGGTACGGTGTGGAAATAGCAGTTGGAGTTAATCCGAAGCGTTTCGCGATGGTGTCGGCGTATTTTGCGGCGCTGAGGTAGATCGCGTTCTCTTCTTCCTGAATGTTGAGCCCGAGGTATTGTGTTACGGTGGATGAGACGGTGAGCGTTAAGTCCCGCTGCAGCTCCCCTTCGAACCAAGTTGTGATGCCGTCGGTCGAGCCGATGTAGAGTAGATCGTCCACGTAGACGATCAGCAGGATGTAGTCGATGCCTTTCGTGAGCCGGTACATGCCCTGGTCGTGCGGTAGCTGGCGGAATCCGATGCGGATGAGCCGCGCGTGTAGGTATTGCTGCCACAGTCTCGGGGCCTGTTTGATGCCGTACAGGGACTTCAGCAGTTGACAGACTTGGTTGGGGTCTGCGTTGGAGCCGTGTGGTTGCTCGACGGAGATCTCAGCATCGACAGGTGCGTAGAGAAAAGCGTTGGCGACGTCGATTTGGCGTAGCTTCTTCTTCTTCATGGCGGCTATCGCGAGGAGAATTTGCAGAGAGGTGTGTCGGCTGACCGGTGTGAACGTTTCGGTGAAGTCCCGTCCGTGCTCTTGGTCAAAGCCGCGTACGACCCAGCGTGCTTTAAACTTGTCGATGGTGCCGTCTGCTTTGGTTTTCACGCGGAAAACCCATTTCCCGGTGAGGATTGTATTGTTGCGTGCTACGCCGATGGGAACGATTTTCCAGGTGTTGCGTTCTTCCAGTGCTTTTAATTCCTTGTCCATGGCTTCGCGCCATTTTTCCCTGTGCTTCCCCCCCCAGAGCCTGCTGAACTGTGGCAGGCTCCTTAGGTGGCGCCGTGCCATGGACTGCGGTGACGAGCCCGAGTATCTGGAGTCCACTCTGTGTGTAGCGGGGAAGATTTGCGTCCTCGGGATAAGCTGCTTTGTCTCCTGCTTCTGGATTAGGTAAGAAATTGGGTCCTACGCGCTCTGCTTCGTCGGTGTTGACTCGTGCGGGGGTAACGTAACCATTGTCAGCGAAGTCGTAGAAGTCTTCGGCGTTGATGCTTTCGCGAGGGTTATCATCGTCCATTGGAACGTCCACTGAGCAGTAGGGAAGAGGTCCAGCTTCTTCTGAAGCTCTGTCCACGTTTTGCTCGTCCAAGTCAGCTTCATCTGATGCCGACGCGAAGGCTCGGTCCCCACAAAATCCGCCTGTGACGTCGCGTGAAGTTTCCAAGTTGTACAGGTACGTTGGAAGTGTGAGCCGTTCGTAGAAGATCACGTCACGTGCTGCTACTGTTTCTTTTGTGTGAACGTCGAAGATCTTCCATGCGTTGTAGTGTTTTTCAATGCCCAGGTGTAGTCCCCATTGTGCGCGTTGGGAGAATCGACCAGCGCGTGCAGCTGTGGGTCGGTACTGTACCATGCAGCCGAACACTCGTAACATTTTTGTGCTGCCCAATTTTCCTGTCCACAGCAGATGCGGTGATGCGTTGTTTGGGAGCGATGATGACGAAAGCAAGTTGTGCAGCATGACTGCGTGGTCCATCGCCTCAGGCCACTGGTGGTTGGGTAGCCGCATGCCACGTAGCAGTTTGCGCATGGTGTTCTGGAGAGTCCTGTTCATTCTTTCTGCCACGCCTTGCTGTTGATGGGCGTAGGGAAGGGAGATGAGCCTTTTGATCCCTTTTTCTGCCAGGTAGTCCTTGAACCTCTGGGACTGATATTCCCCTCCCCCGTCTGACTGGAAGCTCACTCCTGATTCTCGTTCTGCTACTGGAAGCCAGGCAACGAAAGCTTCGAAGGCCATGTCGCGACTCGGAAGGTTAAGATGCCATACGTATCGTGTGGCAGCGTCGATGAAAGTGATAACGTAGTTGTATGCTCCTTGACCCGGTTTGCGGTTGTACAGTATGTCGCTGTACACCTTCTCCAGAGGTGCGTATGCCGGTGCACTTGGGTTGTGATGAGAGACGAAAGGCTGATGCGGTAAGTCGGCTTCAGGACAGGTGAAGCATGTTCCTCGAACTCGTTGGAGTTCTCTGCCGTCGGGTAGGAGTAGCGAGTCTTTATCGAGTACTCCTGCTCTTATCGTATTATTTAACGTCGTGATGCTCGGATGTCCCATTCTTGCGTGCCAGATGTCTTCGCCAGCGCGATGTCCGGGTGAGCGCCTGTATAAGTCGGAGTTGGAGTAAAAACCAGCGATGAAGTTGGCGCTTCTGTGGACTTCTCGTGGAGTAGGAGTCAACTGCTGCGCAGGAGTCGGTGGAGTATCGTTGATTGGAGCTGGTGCCGTTGAAGGACCCGCGATTGGTGTTGTCTCTGCTGCTGCCGATGTTGTCTCTGCTGCTGCCGATGTTGTCTCTGCTGCTGCCGATGTTGTCTCTGCTACTGCCGATGTTGTCTGGATTGTTGCTAATGCTCTCGTCCGTTCTGGTCCAGGTATGGTGTTTGAGTACCAGAAGCCGCCGGGACTGAAGTCGGGGTCGAGATCCGGTGGGCGTGTCCAGGAAGTGAAGCTGACGATTCCGTCGCTGTCGGCGATGCCTTGATCTGGAACGAAGTCGAGGACGAAGACATTATTTTTCAATATGGCCTTTCCGATGTACAGTCCGCCTTTCCCGTTGTACAATTTGAACTCCTGGGTGGTGCTGTCTGCTTCAAGGTGGATTTCCTTCGCCATGAGTTGACTGACGCTCAGTAAGTTGTAGCCGAGTCCTTCTGCAATTAAGACTTTCGACATTTGCAGAATAACGTTAGTTTCTCGCGACTAAAGTTGAACTACCCCTTGTCGTCGTGTGCGCAGGTTCTGATTATTGGCAACGGTGATGACGACTTCACGCTGCAGTTGGTGTTCCCGTTGAACGAAGCAACCCGAGGAGCACATGTGCTGTCCGCAGCAGCTGTCCAAGAACCAGGTGTCTTTCCCGGATGGTTCGCTCTGGGCGATGGCTGCGTATGTTGGGTTCGGCTCCAGTGATTCGCGGCGAGGGGTGCTGTCGTTGAGTTGTTCTTCTGGTGAGTAGTATGGTGGTGATCCGGTGATGCAGGAGTCAGTTGTCCTTGCCATGCAGCTGACGATGTTTCTTGTTCCTTGTGCAGATTGCGTCGTTGATGTTGTCGAAGACTGCGATTGACTGGTGGGATGCGCCTGAGTGGAGGCCACTTGACTGCTTGAAGGCCGAAGTTGTCGCTGTGGTGTCGTTGGCTGTTGCAGATTTGGGCAGTGAGTCCGAGGGTGTCCTGACGTCTTGCAAAGATGACAGAACGGCGGTACGTGCT